CCTATACTGCCACTGATGATTTTAAACAGGGCTGAATCAAAGGCCTGACTGAAGTCATGCACGGCTTCCCCATTATCTACTAAGCTGATTGAGCTTCCAAGGAGGAAAATTAAATTGGTTTGGTATGATTTCATCTTGACAAATCCATGTTGGCTTTTTCTTATCAGTTTATTATCCTCTAAGTGTTTATAAACTGTTGAATAATTTTTTTAACAAGTCTTTCAGGTTACTGCAGCTCAGCTCAATTGTGTGTAGTTCCCTTGGCTCCTATATCTGCTTTTAAAAACAGGTATTATGATTACCCTCCTCTAATCCTTTGAGACATCACCCATCCTCCACGTTTCTCACAGATGAATTGCTAGTACTTTTGAGATTGCTTTGCCTGCCTTCTTAAGTCTTCTGTGGGGAATTTCATCAAGTTCTGCCAAAACAAATCTATCTCACCTACTCTTTAACTTGTTCTTTTGTAAGTCTGACCAATGCTGAAGTTCCTGTGTTGAAATTAACGACATTTAATCTTTTTTGAGCATGACGGAGACACAGAAGGCTTCAGTGAGTGAAGTACTGGCTACTTTCTTTGAGCAGAACCTTTTATCTAGAAGGAATTAAAACTCTACAAACTGGGAAAAAAGCTGCAACAGGCATAGAGATCACAAACCCCTCCAATGGCACACAATTTACATGCCCTGGCATGACACTCAGCAACACCCAGTTGCATTTGTAATAGTTTAGGACAGAGGAGGAAGATAAATATTGCACTGTTGGAGGAATGTAGCCCAAGAGAACACAATTACTCAGTTTAAATAAAAACCAGTAAAATCCTAACTGTTGGAAAAGGTGCCAGTGGCATTTGCAACGATCAGGAGAAGGGGTTAGAGTATCAGGGTTTTTTAATTCCATTTGTAGTTTGGGCTCAGAGTCTCCAGCTGGGCTTAGAAAAGCCTGAGCTCAGTATTTCTGCAGCAGCATGCTCTGCCTGACCCATGCCTCCTTCAGAGACCTCTGGATTTAAACCATAAGTAAAGCTGAGGAATCTGGAGTAAAGGTAAGGTTTAACTGATGGTGTAAATGTATTAGGCAAGCGTAGCTACTGCAGAAGCAGTGACCTGATCAGTCAGTGAACATGAATAATCACCAGGAAGTGAATTGCCTTGTTCATTAACCAGGTGCTGATTTAACATGTCTAAACATTGCAGCGGGGCCTGGCAGTGACATTTCTAAGTTCATGCTCCCTGTGTCACCTCCCAGGCCACAAGCCAGATGCCTGCTCAGTATCCCCTCCGGAAGCCGGGGTTTCTGTCTAGGCTGGAGTGGGCTGCTGCTGGCTACGACAGCAGCTCACCTGGCTCTTGTCCAGAGATCCCTGCACCACGTTCCCATCACGTGGGGCAGACAGCCCTGGGTGCCAGTGATGATACAGTTATGCTGAAAAGATCTAACATCTGCGAGTAAGTGGAGCAGGACTTAGGCCTGACTAAAGTCAATGGCTACATCACATACTTTTGAGACTGAACAAGCACCTTCTGGTAGATTAAAAAAAGGCAGCAGGTACTGGTGTGTCCCACTGTTTGAGCACCATGTCCAAGTTAACCTGGGCAGATTGACAGGGTGTGTTCTGTTTGGTTTGCAAGGCAAGGGTGTGTGGAACTTGGAGGGTAAAGCCAACAGAAACAGCTGTGAATTTAACTAGGAGCAGGAAGATATGCTTCTTGATACAGAGGTATTGGGAGTGGAAGAGATGGCTGTTTTCAACAATTAAACTACTGAGCTCAGGAAAACTCGACTTAGTCAACAACCAGACTTGGGCAATGAATTTCTCATCCTTGTGGAAACAGCATTACAAAATTCCAAGCTAACTACTTGGGCCAGAAAAAAGGCATTATTTAAACCATTAATACGCAGGCTCATCAAATGTATAGGAGAGGAGAAGCGGCTGCCCATTGTTCCCAGAAGTGTGTAATGAGGGTGTGAAAGACTAGGGCAGAGACCATGTATACCATAAGATTAATGGGTCTTTTAATGAGACATGGAGCCACAATACAGGAGAGTGCAGGGTGAGTTCAAATTTCAGCTTGTGGAAACTTGGGAAATGTTACTGTGAGCATTTAAGCGCTTACCTCCTTAGAGAATCCACTCCACAGGATCTTGTTTTCATTGATAAAGAGCCTTTCCCCTTTCTTGGCATAAACGTTGTAGTGCCCAACCTCTTCAAAGACAACTGAGCCATCCTCCGGAGAGAGATGCCAATTGATTATTGAGTAATTCCCTACCAGGTCCCCAAACTCATCAAAATCCACTTGCTCCCCCATGTTATTGGTGAAATTTAAGTGACGCAGATGCTTGAGAACCTAGAGAGAGAGAGAGAGAGACACCATGAATGCCTGCGTGTCACAACCCTACCACAGCACACACCTGCTATGGGGACAGAACTGGAAATAATCACTTTACTACAGTCCTTAAGCTCTTGAAAATCACTTAATCACAGCAGTAGCAGGCTTTCTCTCATAGACATCACACGCACACACAGAGCCCTGTACAAACCTCGTAGACAGCACAAGGTATCATGGCCCTCAGGGGTGGATGGCACTCATCTGTAACACTTTGCTTACCAGTTGCTACCCCATCAGCCTTTTAGCATTCCTCTTCAGACCCTTCCAGCCATCCCTGCAAGCCCACAGCTCTCCTTCAGGGGCAGAGAAGTGGCAGGAGCCACTGAACTGTTTCAGTCACCCATGCATCCCTCTTACCCTGCTCTTGCAACCACTCTGCATAAATGCTCTCAGATGGCATCTCTCGTCTCTGAATGATCAATCACTCAGAAATGGGAATGCTGGAGAAACAATGCAAACTTGACTTTTGATTGAAAAACCCCAAGCCCAACGCACTTTGATAAAAAACAAGAAATCAAGCTCGTTCACCACATGGCAGGCCTGGAGAATGTATACCACAGGTTTTTTTGGCTCCTGTCTCCTGGTTGCATAGTTTCAAGCAATCACATTCTGCCTGTCCCCATGTCTTGACTCCCGTTATTTTCACCTCATGCCTTAAACCGTCTTATGCTGCAGACAAGAGCAGTTAATCCCAGAACAACTGTGGTTGCAAAATTCACAATCTAGATAGCCTGACAGGTAGACCAAAGAAACTGCAGCATGAAAGAATGACGATCCTGGCAACTGTGATATCATTCATCAACATGATGTTTTTCTTCAAAAGTTAGTTGCTGGTTTATGCACTTATCAGACTTTTTTTCCCCTTGTTTAATGGATGTTCTTAGTGAGTTTCTCTGTAGACCTCATCTACAGAAAGCTGAGGTGATGCTGAGGGCACCTGGCTGTCAGCTGTCCCTAGACCACTGTGGCGTCATCACTGCTGTGGTTCTAGCGCCTGTGACAGCTTGTAAGCCCAGTCCTCTCTCTCTCACTGCTGAGTGCCCAAGCATCAATTCTGGATGGCAAAATATGAGAAAAATCAAAATGAAATCAATTTGTCTGGGCAGGCAGAGCTCTCCTCACCCCATAGACACAGAACAGACAATACTGTTTTGATGAAGCCTTTTCACCTGGAAACACAGGGACAGGGGAAAAGAATCACTTCATTAATTCCTGTCAGTTTTGCTGAATTGTCTCATTTTTCTGTTTCCCTTTGGGATCCTCCTATCTCAAGCTAAAAATCCCCAGAGCTACAAAGATACCCTCTTCTTACTGCCTATATCAATGCCAGCCTGAGAGAGTCTGGAAAAATCATAGTAGTACTACACAGGACATGGCTGGCAATACCTTTTCAGCTTCGTGTAATGTTGATGGAAGTACATAAAAATATTGCCACAGTATTCAGTCTTTGAATAATGGCTGAGATGGCAAAGGCAAGATGTTTTCCTGTCTTTCTCATTTCCGCTGGCCCTCCTCTGTAAGAGGGAGGAGAGGGAAGAAAAGAGGCGACTGCTCCCCTCTCCTCCCCCTCATCCCTGAGGGGTACCCAGGAAGATGCTACTTGCCCAGCTCCATCAGGGAACAGTGAGAACAGAGCAGAAGCAGCTCTGAGGTCAGAACGGGTGACGCGGAGTCTGCAGATCCACAGTGATGTCTGTACTGCATCAACTCACTTTGGCCTCACCTGCAGTGGGGCTGCAATCTTGGATGTGTTAGCAGGAACCTTGTCTGTCAGCAGTGCAGGTCCCACACAGGGAACCTGCATTCCTCTGCAGGCTCTAGCACCTACCACAGGGTGACACCTGCAGCTTTGATGTCCAGATCAGATTTGAGTCGTTATGTTGAGCTGAATGTCACATTTCTCCTCACTCCAACTCAATATCGTGCTCTTGTACAGCACTGCAGCATCCTGCTGACCGACACTAGGATATCCTGACTGGGTATCACTGCTGGGTTGACTTTCACCTGTATAGGCAGGAGGTGCAGACCTTGCACTTCTTTTGATTACAGTTACTACACACATGTCCTGGTTTTGGCTGGGATAAAGTTAATTTTCTTCCTAGTAGCAGGCATAGTGCTGTATTTTTGATTTAGTGTGAGAAGAATGCTGATAACACACTGATGTTTT